CCCCCCCCGTGCTCCATTTTTTTGGCCTTCTATGCCTCAAGGAGTCATCCTGGGAGGCAGTTTTTGCTCCCAGGGGCTTCCTTGAGGCCCAGGAGGCAAAAAAATGGAACATGCCCCCGCCCCACCACGCACAGCATCTCCCATGCCCCTTTTTGCCTCCTGGGTGAAGCAGTAAGACAGCAAGGGGGATCCCGTCACAGCTGATCATCGGAACAGCTGATTGTCGGGAGAAAAAAAATACCATAAGGAGTGACCGGGTGGGGGAGGGTGGGAGGGGGAGAATGCAGTCAGTGATGTTGCACATGTATGATAAGCACTGACTGGGCAGGGAGGGGAGGGTGAAGGGGGGCAGGAACAGCCAGGGGCACGGTATGCCAGTTCTCCAAACTGCGCAGAATCGTAACAACCAGCTCTACTTAACCGGTCCGAACCAGTAGAGTCCCACCTCTGGATGAGGGGATAGAAGTGAATTTCATCAAATTTACAGATGACGCTGAACTGGGGGCAATTGCTAACACTTTTACATTTATATTGCACAAGTGAGGTCATACTTGGAATACTGCATCTAATTCTGGTCGCCATGGTGCAAAAAGATGCTAAGATCCTAGAAAGAGTGCAGAGAAGAGCAACAAAGATGATTAGGGGGCTGGAGGTTAAAATACAGTATATAAAGAATGGTTGCAGGAATTGGGCATGCCTACTCTAGTGAAAAGAAGGACCAGGGGCGACATGATAGCAGCATTCCAATATTTGATAGTCTGCCACACGGGTGGGATTCAACCGGTGTTACTACCAGTTCGGTGACTACATTTTACATTGTGCTGCACGTGTATGTAAAAAACCTCTATGTTATGCTGTGCGCATGTGTAAAAAACCTTAAGCTGTGCTGCCTGGACAGCTGACAAGCGCTGCGCTCGGATGCGCAGCGTTTGAAAAGCCACTTTTTTCCTGTTCTTTCAACCTCAACCGTGCCATGCAAAGCAGCTGAGGTTGAAAAAGCAGGAAATAAAGGACTGGTAAGAGCCCGGGTGGGCAGGTGGGCCAAATAGCAGCAAACACAGAACCGGTTCGGTGTCTGCTGCTCTTCAGAGCTACAGGTTCTTTAGAACTGGGCAGAACCGGTAGCATCCCACCCCTGATTAAGGACTACTCTTTGAGTATGGTTTGTCAGCCAGCTACAAATCCATCTGGTGGTGATGTTATCTATCCCACTTTTTTCTAGCTTATGAAGAAGTAGGTGGTGATCTACCTTTGTCAAATGCCTAAGTATATTATGTCCACAGCATTTCGCTTGTCTACTAATTTAGTGACTTTATCAAAGAATGAAATCAGACTGGTTTGGTATGATCTGTTTTTAACAAACCTGTGCTGGCTACTAGTTCGAACTCTACAGTTGGTAAGCCTATATCAGTGTTGTGTTGACTTTTGTATATTTTATTATTTACATGGTGAGAAAATAATCTCAAATGTTTTTGCTTACAGTTTGGAGGCACTGAACCATTGTTGTTGGCTCTAGCAATAACTGTTAGCACTTTTCAGACTTTGGAAACCCCAAATCTAGTTAGTAAAATAGTTCTCCAAGGCAAAAGGTCCAATAGGAAATGCCCTCCTGAAGAATTGGGGGGCGGAGGGGGGCAATATTTTTTCTTCCCTCCTCCTGGAAGCCAGTAGCTGGTAGAGCCAACGCAGGGAGCTGGTCCCACTGTTTAACAGAAGGGATTGGTCACCCAAAAGCACCATCCACAACCGTTTCTTCCCTCAGCCTTTCTTTTTCCTCTTGCCGCCACAGTGCAGCGGTCCCCCTCTTCTGTCAGCACCGAGTCAGCCAATCTGGAGAACTGGCTCAGTCCGGACTGAACATCAGGCACAATCAGGGCTATTTACCTGCTACCAAGACGGATGGCCTTCCTAGAAAACCGTTTTCCATAATTGCCAGGGCTGGGGTTCTGTCCTTCTCCACAGCTCTTGCCTCAGTGTGGAACAGCTTAATTCCACAGCCAGATGCTCATTAAGGTCAATTGTCTGCTATGCTGTGATTACCTGAATTACCTCCAGGTGACAGGTCTTAAGAAGGCAATTCATACTTTCCATTTAGCAGCTTGAACTTCAGGAGCAATTTCTATGACAGTCTCGTTCTGGCAGCATCTGATTGTTATTCTTTGGCAGCCTTGAAAAGCACAGCGGTGGATTTGCAAATGATTTTCTTCAAGACTCAACAGAAGCTGTTTTTTTTTAGTGCCACTGGGCTGACATTAAGCACTACTTGTATCTGTAAACAAAACAGACAATATTTTACAGGAAATCAAGAGTTAACTCAGCAAAGTTTTGTTGCTGCTTTGAGAAATATTCTTTTAAAGCTTAAACATGCTTTCTTTGGAGTTATGGATTATTTTAACATCTCTGTGCCTAAAGATGGA